CATACATACACGACTATAAACAAGTCTGAAACTAAAAATATCAAACTAAAAAATAGTGACGCAAACATTAAATTAATTACTAGAAAATAATAAGTTATATGTTTTGCATCAATTGTCCGTGATGTGCTAGTTATTTCCGGAAGTCAAACACACATTTAATGGGCGAAACTACAGAGATTTGCCAAAGGTCGCTTTCCTAACAAACAATAAAATTCAAGAAGTCAAAGCATTGGTTCATGAATAAATGTTACCACTAATTGTCCATGACAGCAACCCATTAAGCAATATAGAAGTCATCCAATTAAAGCTGACTGGTAGTAAATATTGACAAATTGTCTTTGAATGTAATACACATTCGTGTCCTGCAGGCAGTTTGTTGGCAAGAATGAATGTAGCTAATTGAGTTGGGAAACATCACAGCTCCCCTTAGTGACTTTAAACATTATACATTGACTGGATGGAAAGAACCATTCATTATCATTTCTGGCTTATGCTTTCACAGTACACGTAAAATTACGAACCAGCTAATTGCTCATTAGGGTACATGACTGGGCTGTGCTTATTGGGGAATTGGATAGAAGCACAATCTTTTGGGTCATTGGCCGATATTTTGTTTAGATCATTTGCCATTGGGATGGAGGGCTGATATTCGTTAAGGTGTTTGGCCATTGGGATGGAGTGACAATATTTTAACATTTCTAATCTTATTTGCCATTTGGTACATAGGGCTGATATTTTTGTGATGAAGTCATGAAGGCCAACATGAGAGCTAAAATTCTGTCAGGGCTCATTGGGTTGGAGGGCCAACATTCTTTCAGAACTTATTCATCTGGAAAGCTGACAATCTTTCTGCCATCCATCAAAATGCACATGATCAACTTCTTTAAAATTAATTGTCTGTGTCCTTATCCCAAAACTAACATTTGTGTAAGTTTATATTTTTAAACAATATTCTAATTTTCAATGATACATTAGGCTCAGGCTCATTACATGCCGAGAAGGGGTATGGCAATGACAAGAAGATACATAGCATTACGATATCATGCAGCTATTCAAATGAGATACATTGTCATGCAAATGATGACATCTAAACTTTGGATATTAACAATGTCTTCCCCCATTCATGCAAAACTTATTGTCTACATAGACAATACATGCAAATATAGTAATAGTGTTTACACTGAAACCATTGAATTTTAGCGTAAATATTAACAGCAATGAAGCAAAATAAAATGGTCAGTTTAGGTAGTTGTGCAAAGTACAAAAGCTGCGAGTTATATTATTAACAAATTAACCTTTTCACCACCAGACATTCTCTCCCACATTTGTCTGCACCTTTTTCTTATAGTCCTTCAATATTTCTAGAAATAAACCCTAAGTTTGAAGCCGACAGACAAAATTTGAGTCAATTTTCAGTTTTTACTCAACTGGTGGTGAAAAAGGTTAATGCCAATTAGCGTTAAAATCACATAATCAACATTATGTTCTATTCCATAACAACCTATTAGTACAGGTTTGAATAGAAGCCAACTGAACCCACAAGAAAGTATTTAATCAAAGACATACACACACAGATAGGAACACACAAAGACTCCCATGTGTGCAATACAATAAGTCAATAAATACAATGAAGATAATATTTAATATATGAAAGCTGCAAAAGTTGTACATCTGAAAAATCTGTACAGCAAAGATGATAGAACACAAAAGTGTTTTCGCTAATGTCAATGGGATGGAATATAAAATAATACATTTAAAAATGAGTAAACTTTTTTAAGCATAAGCTAATGTTTGAAGTAGTTATTGCAGTTGCAGGATTGGGTGGGGATTACAGGTATACACTAGTAGCTCTATGTTTTAGTGAATACATACACACACACATACAGACTGCATGAAAGAATGTGAGATCAGTGTATATGACCCACATGAAATTCATCATCGCCTTCGCCACTGTGCCTGTAGTTTAGTGTAAACTTGCTTATAATGAGATTTGCACGTTTCGCGAGATGTCGGCACATGACTGATGTGTGGGTATCAATCAACAATGCTCTCTTCGCTCCACATACATTATATTCTTCTGGAGTTTCCCAATGAAATGTTATCTTATTTTCTGTCTACTTAATTATAAAGATTTAAAGATTTTGTGTATAAATCAAACACTTCATGATAAAATTATGTAAAACATCATCTTATTAAAATTTTTGCCAAAAATGTCAAATACTGTCAATAAATGGACTTGATCATTCTAAAAACTGAAAACAAAAAGACGGCAATATTCAGTCTTAATGCATGGTTCTAATGTGATGACATTAACAATAACAAGATATATGTGTGTAAAATACGAGAGATGACAGTCTCCCAGCTGATGTCTGCGTATGGTAGATGACCCCAAAGGTCGGCAATGACATCATCCAGTGAATCATAAAATATCTTTTGTAGGGCACATTTCTCAGCTAATATGGCATCACTATGTGACCTTTGACCTCTTGATAGTTTAGTTGGGTGAAGGGGGGAGAGGGAGGGGTAGAGGATAGTTTCAAGTTCTTGATGGCTAGATGAAAAAATACAATTCATTAAATTTATATAAACAACTATACTGACACAGATCACCAATATATAGAGGTGTTAATTGATATGTATTTATTCATGAATACTTGACAAATAATTAGAAACTGCCAAGAGTTCAAATAATAATTGCATACATCCCGATTTCAAACATAAATTAATTAGCGTATATATTTTTTGATTTCATTTCTAGGCTGTCCAAAATGTAAAGGTAGTAGCCGCAAAGTCAATATGAACAAATACTGCAAGAAAGACTATGGTAAGTTAGATAATTATTGGATATATTTAGTTTAAGGAAGATGCTTACTCTACATGCCAGACAGAAGTCTCAAAATAATTCACACAGCCAATATTTGATAAAAGACATGGGAGAATACAGGCACTGGCAACTGCGGCAAATACCAAAAGGAATGGAATGGTGTTTTGTGTGACATCTTTTGGTGTGCCATGTACTATTATGTTAGTGTCTGGATGCGCGCAACAAATCCACAATCACATTTTTTCCAGTTGATATCGGTTTTAAAATGTGCTTAAAATGTTAAATATGTTTACAGTAGATTGGTTTATGTACTGCTCAGTAGCGTAGATTTGTTTTTGAATGAAAATAGATGAACAAAGATTATCATCATTTATTTACATCAAGTTCTACAGAAATTTGAGTCATGATAAAGCTACTGATTGGCTACCGAACCCTAACACCTAACGGTCTGACCAATCAGAAAGCAGCATGTTTTCAACCTATCAGATTCTGCCTCATACATATACTTCAACTCAACTGAGAAAGTTTTCATGAATATATTGTATACAATTTGTTCAAAATTCTACTACAGTATGTCCTACTGATATTATTGTGTTGCAGAGGCATCTTTTTGTTTTGAAATTTGCCAATCAAAAAAAAAAGGATTTATATTTATTTTTACGTGTGAGCCAACTTAAACGTAATGTTTAAAATCACATTTGAGCCCTAAACATGATATATTGAAGAAAAGACAACAATTGCTTGTCCCTTGTATTCGCTAGTGTCTTTCATTTGATGAATATGTCATTATTATTCATATTATTCATACTTATCACATTATCATATTAGGTGATATTGTAAAATTTGATAACTTGGAGGGCAGTTACAGTGATGTCACTTCATGAATATTGCGCCAAATTTATTTACATTACTTGTAAATAAACTTGTATCACTTACTACAATTTTTTTAAGATTTACGATAAAGACTTTAATTTCTTAATTGATTAATTTGACAGCCATCACTGTAAAATAATGCCTATGTAATTTCTTTCTCTTTTTCATTCTGTATCAGCCGTTCAAGCGAATATATTATCTCGGGAGCAGACAACTGATTGGGTCAAGTTCACAATCAATGTAATGACTGTATATAAGAAGGGACAGAACAAAATCCGCAGAGGTGATCAGATATTATACGTGCATAACAGAGATCTAACGTGCAAATGTCCAAAACTGCGACTTGGTCGAAAATACCTTATTATCGGCAACGACAACAAAAATCCCAATCAAAATGGTCTTTTAGCTGACCACAAGAGCTACGTGATTCCTTGGAGGGATGACTGGAACAGACGAATGAGAAAATTCCAACGAAAAGCTAGGAAGTCATGCTAAAAAAAAAATGAAAAAAAAAAAAGAACTATTGGCTCTTGGATTTTGGTTAAAAATGAAAAGAAAAAAATAATTTTATAATGTTATGTAAATTTTCAATCTATATAAAAGACGGAAATTTTAGGTGCAACGTATTTTAAATCTGTATCCTGTAAAACAACAGAATTGTCACACATTTACACTGTTTGTAGAGTCTACCTTTGACCTTTACCCCAGAAGGGAAATTCCATACAGGCTTACCACATCCCTTTCTGATTAACAACATCCTGTATAGCTAGGATCAGTAACCAATTGTATAAGGTCACACCCACCTACAAACACATACATACACAAAATAGTCATGATATTCATACTGTACATTTAATGAGCCATATTTCAGTTAGAAGTGTTCCAATACACGTTTTGAACATATTTGAAGAAAGTTGATTCCACAGAAAAATTACATGTCATGAAATCGTTGTCTTTTTTTAACAAGTTCATGCATGATCTTTTTCTTGGCTGTGTTTATAAGCATCCTAGATTTTGAGGATTGATTTAAGTGGGACAAAATGAAGTGCTAATGTACGATTTCAATTATTCTGTGACATGTACGTGTACCCCACCGACATATTTCGCTGGGTATTGGCTGGTCAGCATATATCCTAGTTTAAAGCTTGGATCAAAACAAAGTGTCTACTCACACATCTCTGAAACATTATTTGTAATATATAATTGTGAAAGCATGATTTATTTTTGTTCCTTCGCTCAGTTCCAGAGGGAACCTTTTTTCAGGACACGGAGTAATATTAGATTTGATTATTAATATTTGATTCCAATTTATCATCCCTACCCATTTCAACATTTTTGGGATATGTAGGAAAATGAAAGTGGAAATTGGTAAAAATAATCATTATGTTAATGGTTTTATGTCAGTAAGCAGTGGAGGGTGGGTCTCATTATTGAGCAGTGTGGTCACATGCATTAGAAGCTATCACTGTCAACAGTTGTGTAAAATGCAGATTTTCTAAAAAAAAAACACATAGTAATGTTGTATTTTCCCCTATATTTATAATCTAACATAAAGCTAACTTAAGATATGGCAAACGTATTTCCTGAGTTGATCTAAATATCCTGTTGTGTGATTCATTGCAATCTCCCTAACTCTTTGAGTGCCAGATATTTTTCCTGTCCAAAATTCAGTGCAAAGTTGTCACATTTTGTGAAATTGTCAACATTTAGACCAGACAGACAGTTTCACATATTGCTTTTAATTTTTGATGAAAAAAAACTTTAGCTATTTTTTCCACATTTCATGTGGAGAGGAACAGAGTGTAAAAAATCATTTTGTATATGGTGTCAATTTGACAATGGCGCTTAAAGGATTAAGATACTGAAAATTCTGAACAATATTACAAATAATGTTGCATTTGGGATAGCAATACAATACAGTTATAAACAGAGACAGTTATGGAAAACGTTGTTAAATGTTTTGCTTCATTTAGGCATAGATACAGTCAATTAAATAAAAAAAAAAAACTTATTTCACAAATTTGATGAACATTTGATTAATTGAGCAGTATTGTTTTGCGTTTTTGTATTTTTATGCAATTTCGGTGAGACAAAGTACGAAACAAATGTTACAACCTAACTTGTCTCCGCGTAGACGAAATATCATAATGCATAGAATTTATCGTTATGTTGTTTACTTCTACTCACCGATATATATTTGACGACTATCTTCACGAAGGTGGACTGTAGAGTGATTGTGTATATTTATAGTGTACTATGGTAGTGTTGGTGCTAACTTAATCTCATCTACTGCCAGGTGCTTTTCTCGTACAATAACACTTTAGTTCTGTATAATGTCAAATTTGAATGCATATTATTTACCAGACTGAGCAGTGCTGAGAAGTGGTTAGTCACGGCACTGGAATTATAACTCTTTGGACCAGTTTCTCTGGTCCTGCCAAACTAACTTCTATCAAAAAAGTACATACATGTCTATTAATGAGAAAAAGGTGATCATGATTGTTTTAATTCTTGTCAATTTCTTTTTAACAGAATTGTACCATTTCATCGTGACCTCAAGTCCTATAACGGACACATCAATTTTTTTTTTAAAACTAAAATTCAATGATGGAATTATAGTTAATTTATACAGCTATATCAAAAGTCCATGTATTTTACTAGGTATTGAGTTTAATGTGAGAATATGTAAAGTAGTCAGTTTAGCTTAACCATTTGTTTACCTTATCCTGTGACCTAGGATACATTGCATAATTTTCATACAAGAATTGTGACTGGTTAACAGCATGAAGCCTTTTGAAGTTGGCTCAGATCACCATCACTTAGCTGTAATACCAAAACAATGAAATACAATCAGGGTCTGGATCAGTTCAGTTTTCACACTTCCCAAACAGTAGACATACTTACAAATTTCAAATCCTTGCCACTGGAAAATAGATGTTATTTATACAATGTGCACACCCCAGCTGGGTACCTATATTAGAATTTTGAAAGCCAGAAAATAGATTTATAAATATACAAAATGAAATCATTTGTTTTATCTACTGGGGGGAAAAAAACTTTAAAAAAAAGCAGCAAAGCCAATTTTTGTGAAAAGTCTGTTACTTACAGAATATATACTTAGTACGTTTAATTTTATACAATGGTCACAATGAACAATAATATAAGTAAAACAAAAATAGAATCCCCCAAAATACTAACTGTATCAATTTTATTTAGTTTTATAAACACAACACGGCATGGGACATATATTAAACATATATTTTACACCATTAAATAATTTAAAACTAAGTTTAGTATATTTGCTTACAGGTGCTTTGTCCATTGAAAGCAAAATGTACTTCCAGAGCAAAACTATGTGCACAGGAAAAAAATGTTTATATTTTTTGTTTTTGTAACACACCAAAGTGGTTGTGTATTCAATGAAAGCTGTAAAAAGCAATATATAAAAAAATTGAAAAGTTACAGCTAGCACAGTTTTATGTATATAGCACAGATAAAAAAAAATAATAAATAATTAAGTATTGAACTTTAAGATGTCTTGATGTGCAAGATTTATTTGAATCACATGAAGTTAATTTCTAATAAACTTCTTTATATTAAGAATATATAACAACTGTCAGTGTACAGGTATATCAAGGAGTATTTTCCATTTAAACATGAAACTATTAGGAATGGGGTAAATCCATGTGATCAACTCACTCTATTGTCACTCTTATAACGAAATATTTCACTTACTGTAATGGCTGCCCGACAGATTTTCTGAGATATAACAGTAATCTCAATACCAACCTCAGTCTCTGCATTAACAAGGGTAATTCTCAGTGTATAGTTTTCAGAAGCCAAAATAGCGTGAGGAGATTTTCAGTTTTGTCAGGAAGTTTATGTTGAATTTCCAAAAATTTAGAAAGTGTAAAAATGAACTGTTGAAGCAGAGTTTCCTATTTTTGCGTGTAGATTCAACAAGCACTGTATAAGATATTTTTTTTTTCTCTCATTGAATTGTGTTGTATGTTATTTATTGGTGAAAGAAGTGGTGAGGGAAAAAAGGAGTTATGGAGAGAAACATTAAATCGTTACTTTTCTCAAATGTAAATAAGTCGTGTTTTTGACATTTTATTACAACTATATTAAATGTAGCTTCAATTCATGGAGATTACAGAAATAAAGATATGTTTAACCTTAAAATATAAGCAAAGTGTAATTTATAAATGAATGTGTGTTACTGATGTGTTCATCTTTCTCTCACTTTCTGAACAGATGTCAGACGAGACCTCAGGAAATGTCTGAATGCATATGTGTTGTTCATATAAAGGTTGAAAAAAATTTACCAATGCATGCATGAAATGGTTGAAAAATGCCCCCCCCCCCCCATACTTAGAGTATTCACACCAAATCTAATCAAAATCTGAGAACTGTTAGAACACATAGAGGGGAGCAAAAAGAGAAGAAGAAAAAAGTCACCATGGTGGCTATTTGAATCAAATCTGAAAAATGCCTTGCATCAGCATCTCTGAGTAAAAACAACTTTACTTGAACAAATTGATTAAAACATGTCTGAAAAATGATTAAGGAAATATGAAAGTATGGCTGCCAGACAGCCATTTTGAAGCAAAACACAAAATAAACTGACAAAAGTATGAATGTATGTTCAAATATTGTATTTATATGTTTTTGACAAAAAATTGATTCCAGTCTGTTACTATTTCTTTGAAATCCAAAGAAAAGAACATGCAACCCATTATGTTTTGCTTTTGAACACAATTTATACAAAACATGTAAAAGTATATCTAAGAAACGCTTTGAAACAAAATTGTGAAACAAAATGAAGTAACCCACCATGAGTGGTGTCAATGCCAAGTTTAAATGAAATTGGCTCAGGCATGCATGAGAAGCAATTGATAATTTATTGAAACATTGAATTTTGTTTTTTGTTTTTTTTGGACAAAAATGGTCGTCATACGCACAGAAGGATCAATGAAACCAAAAACGCAAGTTCACCTTACAGATTATGTTCAGTAGAAATTAATAATAGACATTTGAAGTAACCAATAGACCAAATAATGCTACTCAGTCAACTTTGTCAATACTAGTGCTGGAAATGATGATTAAAAATCGATAAGCTACAGAGACATATGAACAAAGTACATATTTTACCCGTAAGACTCTTTTGACGCTCTCAGAGAACAATAACTCATTGAAATTAGGTCAGCCTGTTTTCATCAGACATGTCAGTGAAATGTCATACAGGTTAGGAACAAATGATGGTTATATTTGGAGACTGACAAAATAAGTTGTACATACGTCATAATTCACAAGAACTACATTACATAATATCCATCATGATGAATGTTTCATCTTCATTAAAGACTGCCTCCACCAATTGGGTCAAAGACAATTTGTTACATTCATCCTTGGCTGGTTTTATCATAACAATTTTTAAATTAGCATTCACTGATGTTCCTATGCTTGCTATGTGTTTTTATTTGGCTCAACTCTTCCGACTGTCCTTGCATTTTATTACCAAGTCTTGTAATTCTCATCAGTTGAGAATCTTTTCAGTCGTTAAATTTATCTTCCTCAGCTTAGAACTATTGTGAAAGTAATTTGTTATGTATTACACCACTACATTATGTTGTACTGCACTCCATAAGTCAGACTCTATCCATTGTTTTCTTATGGTTATAAAACTCAAAAATTAGTTATTGTTTTTATCTAATGATACAATCTGAACAGACCACCTCCCCTTTCCCCCAAGCAGTATCAACCTGAAAATTGCAATAAATTTGGGGCCATCAACAACTTGGACTAGGACAAGTCCCCCTAGGACCTTCCAAAATATTTATTATCAGAACAAATTTAATTCTGCTGAATTATTCAGTTTTGGTAATTTATTAAAATATTTACAAACTACAAGTCCTGGTTGTATTAATAACTCTGAAACCTAATTTTTGTGTTTTTTGAAGAGAAATAGGTCATAATTGATAAAGCCAAATAAAATACCAGTATGTGGACTTCCCTGAAAAAGACAGAAACTATGCAACTAGGATCCTGAAATTATTGTAAACTGCATTGACAAGTAAATTATGAAGCAGTGTCCTATCAATTCACAGTCACCCTTATGAACCGAGCACAGCCATAAATGGCTGTCAATCAGCCCTGACAAATCAAACATATAAAATACGAACCATCCTGAATTATCTTTGCGTGAACTTTCAACAAAATCTCTGAGATACACATGTCTGTATCCAACAGATGGTTGTAAAGCAATCAACAAGTACAAGTTCCAGTTCCAGTTAAACTCTGTGGATGGTTGCAAACCAATCAACAAGTCAGTGTTTACATACTTTGTCCAGACAGAGACTAAATAATCAGAATAGCACCTATTTGAAAAGTCACTCTATAACTGACACATTTAAACAGTTCCGTTATATTTCTTTACAGCCTGCTTGAACTAAATGAACAATAATTATGCATTAAATGAATCTACCACAGTGACAACCCCCCTGACAGTAACTGATCATATGAATCCGAAACAAATGTACTTAAAAATTCATAAGGGATCCATTTTTGATAAATTTGCTTGATTACCTATGATCATTTCTCACCTGATATCACATTATGTAATGACAACAATATTTCAATCTCTAAACAACTAGGGAATTAAAAAAAATCATGCATTACAAGTTCCCCCCCTCCCACCGATTGTTGAATGCATGCATCCACAGTGAGACGTAAAACAGCACAGGTTACATAGTCTGATATCACATACTGCATTTTTGTATTACATGTGCTACCAAACCCGTGTGGAGCTTCAATGTATTGTGTACAGCCCAATAACTCTGTACTATAATTCAAAATGATTCATGTCGGCAAGCTTATGTGTGCAAATGGTTGAAATTATTTTTTTTTTCAAAATTTTTGCACACATGACAAACGAGCATAATGCACTGCAATGGCGTGAAATGGTACACTGCCACACCATCAAAATTTGCATAATCTCGAGAGTGAACATCTGGACGTTTTTACCACCTGATAACCATCACCAGTGAAAACAAGGGTTGAAAACTGTCATAAAACTATACATTGGGCTAGTTATTGAGACTCCCCTGAACAGTATAACAAGATTACCCCTACATGTACAACAAATTGAAATTTGGTTGTTTAGGATTTCTGCCATTTTCACTGTTTTTTTCAACCAGTGTTCCACAGCAGCTCACACAGAGCCCATAGTATGTATGTTAATATCTTCATTCCTGACAATAGGTCCATGCAATAATATATTAATCGATAATTTTACCGATAGTCACAGTTTCAACACTGCTCATCGCATTTTTCGGATGTGGAATAGGCACATGATAAATAAATAAATAAAATAATTCATATCTTTTTTAGGTTGAGATTTAAAACGCAGGCGATAGTCTGCTGTTTCTCTAAACCTGTACAGCAAAAATTTTGTTTTCTATTTTAAAATATTTGTTGGAAATTACTCTCCAAATTTGAATAGACATTTTCTTATAGGTTGGCATGCCAGGGAAACACTTCTTGCTAGCCAACCAGTATTCTTGCATACAAAAAATACAGTGCTCTAGCTCATAATATATTTACACAACATTTTCCAAATGTTTCTAATATTGGCATACATTATACAATAACAGTCCATCCTCCTACAAGCCCTGAACCCAAAATTTGGACAAATACACGTCATATAAGGACAGAAAATAAAGTTTCTCTATAACTGATGCTGATGAACGAGATGACAAAATTTTGTTTGAAATTCAAATTTATACATTATATATAAAAAACATTTATGGATGAACAAGACTTAAAAAAGAAACGGTCCTTGTTGGTAGTTTTTCAAAATCATTTCTTATGAGGTAAGCACTAGACCCCCCCCCCCCCCCCGAAAAGTGGATTATGTCTGAAAGCACACCTATTGGTGTGGTAAACTAGTAAATTACCATAATTAGTTGAGAAGTGTTTGCATGTCTTTATTAAAGTCTATTATGACTGACACTCATATGACAGAGTCAGTTTACTTATGCATTTTTTGTGTTGAGATTGGTCAAGGCATGTTTGAGATACAGCCCTAAAACAGCATTTATTAAATGGCGATTTTGAATCCAATCAGAAAAAATTATGTGTATCACAAACAAAATACCTGCAATAGACATACCAAGTGTGCTCAGAAATGGTCGAAATGCTTGATTTTTATGATTTTTTCCAGCATTAAAATGGTCACCATTTGGCCATTTTAAATTGCATTACAAAACAAATGCCAAATGCGTGTGTATATATATGACATGTGTTTTTGAATGTAATTAGCTCAGGCGTGTCTAGGATACCGGTGTACACGAATGCACAGATGCACTTAGCCTGAGGTAAAATTATATGTTTTCATTTTGGACTATGTCCAAACGGGGAATAAAAATGCAAAAATTGAAAAACAAATACAAATTCCAACAAATACATGACAAAGTACAAATAAAAAGAAAAGGCAATGAACCCTACTCTGGCAGCATTTTGAATTGAAAAATTGTCAAATTAAATAACAACAGAAGTTAGTAATACAAAAATTAGTTTTTCCCATTATAACTTGTAAAATAATAATTAACGTTTTGAGGGCAACTTTTGCAGGAAAATTATGTGTTAGCCACATCCAGCCTTAAACTCTACATAAGTACAAGGGAATTGGAATTTTAAATTCTCATTTTTATTATCCGTAACCATTAAAGAAATCCTGCAAATTGGAAAAAAATCTCAAGTAGCCATTTTCATTATAAAACTTGCGAAATAACATTTCACA